TCAACTTATGACCCACATATGAGCATATGCTGGTATAAGTCAATTTCTAGACGTACTTGCCGTATTTCGATGTGCTTCCGCATGCTCATAGCTTATACAAAGCGTACCAATAACTTACCCAACATATGCCAGCATTATTGCCAGATTTTTCGTACGTCAGGCATACACTGTCTAAATCATCAAGGTGTGACAGGGGCTTTAAACATTTATATATGTTCAAGAGTCCAACTTACTTATTCAACATTTCCTTTTCTTAGAACCTTTACATTTTGAAAAGTTTGTATGAATTATGCTAATTTGTGAAAATGGATCTGGAAAAAAAATAAAATATTCCAGAAACACACATTCTTTGCTTTGAACAATAATGGAATAAAACTTGCTCCATACTTACCAAATATAAAGGGAACCAGACTTTTTTAAGGCAAACTGCAATAGCTATGAAAAATAAGCACGATTAAAAGTCAGCCTTCCCTAAATGATTAAGTTCAGTCAGCCGCTACATCCTGGAGCGCAGTACATATCAACAAAGGGTTGGGAGAGAGAAGTGGTGCTGCTATGGCTCCACGCATGCAAAACAACAAGCTGCCTGGTGGCAGTGGAGGGGAACGGTGGTCACTACAGCCGACCATCAGACGGTCTAATAAATGACAATAAAGACCCTGAATATCAGTTTTATTTAAAGAGCTGTTTTTGAGATGCAGGCCTAAGGGCTCCTTTCTTGGCTCTAAGAACAGACCACAGGAGCCACACATTATGGGCTGACAGACGCCCAGCCACTAAGGAGGAGAGACGGGACGCGTGTGTTATGGTAGGGTTACTGGGGTTGTTAACAGGGGCCTCTAATCCAGGGGCCAGGCTGTAATCCTGCCACTGGTCGGCAATGGACTGTGACCCCGAAGGCACGTGCCTCTGAGGACCCCCTCGACAGACACTTATCCACATCTATCAAACACAGACACACTCACAGCTGAGGGAACACAGCAGCTGAAACAGCAAAGGACGCCATTTAACTCAACACACACACACACGCACCCTTTCTGCAACACAAATCCAAACCGGCAGACGTAAAAATGTAGCCAACACAACGCAGATAAAGGTACAAACACACACAGGCAGCTGGCAGCGCGTCGGCAGCCTTGCAAAAACAAACAGTTGAGCTACTAGAAATACCACAGACAGAGATGAAACCAGAGGCCTGAAAACTGAAACCAACACAAAACACATCCTGCAGATTCCAGCAGCAAAAAGGACCGACGGAAAAATGACAAACATTTTTATTCAGAGCCAAACTCCCAGACAGGACAATAAGGCTTCTGGTCACTTCAAACAACAATCAGCTACTTCTGACGCATTAATGTCATCGTTACCAAAATCTTTACTCGCCAAACATAATCCAGTTGGTGTCCAGTCCGGCTTTTAAAAACCTGACAGCTAAAGTAGTCCCTTTTATCCGGTTTAAGGTTTACTAGAACTAAAAATGGATTTTGATTCTTAGCAGGATACCTTGATGTGAAATGAAACAAAAAGCTGAAGAGAATGCCTGAGCCACCACCATGCTTCACTGCCGACACTTGATTCCTCCTTCAGACATACCACTGAACCAGTCCTGAAAATTCCTTTGAACCAAATCACAGTCTTCATTTGTTGACTTATAATGAAGCTTTTTCCCCTCATTCTTTGCAGCGTCTTTTCCTCTAAACTTTAACTAAATCAGGTTTGAACTGAAGTGCTAAGAATATTCAGGTTTTTGTTTGTTTTTAATCTTTTTCCTTGTTTTTCCTGGGAAATGATATCTCATCTTTTCTATATTTTTAGGAGAAAATATAATACTTATATGAAAACACGCTATTGATTAATCAATTTATCGAAAGTTTATTGATCTTATTGAATGTATTAATTGACAAGTGACCATCCTCTTAAAACAACAGTTTTCTCTTCTTATCAAAAAATCTTTCAAAACATGAGGTGCCAATATTTTTTCAACAAATGCAGAGTTAAAAAAAACATAAAATATCATTTGAACTACTTATTGTGCCTGCTTTATTATAAACAGACTGTTTTAAAATAAAAATGTTTCTTTGCACATTATTAAAAGTATAATATATATAACTAAACAAGAACCTCTTATGATACTGAATAAAAAAAGATGAATATGTGAAGCACAAACTATCATTAAAACAGAGTATGTCGCTCCGATATGTTGGTAACTGTTATTATTCCATCGGTTTTATTGGGAATAACTAAATGTTTTACTAAGGCTTAGGTTTATTTCAAATGAGGTTTGATCTGCAGATGTTCTACCCGTTGGTCAGCATCAACATTACAAATCTATAGTTGTACATTTAACCTTTCAATTCACATGATTTTCTCCATCTTTTTCAAAGTCTTAATGTTTATTCAAGTGATTGTTTAGCTTCACTCGCAGCACTTTCTTCTTCTGATCACTCATTTTTCCTTACGTTTTTTTCTTTAAATACACCACAGAGACCCCTGCAGAGGGATTGTGTAAGAGCCAACTGGCCACTGATGGTCAAAAAGAAGAAAAACATTAAAAAACAATATCAGGTTCTTTTCACATGCTAAACTGGTTTCACTGGAGATTGTTAAAATCAATCATTTGCTGAGGTTTGGTTGATTGAAGGCTTAAAAAATACATCAGAATTTAGCAACTCTTACAATTTTTTTCTCAGGTTCTTTCTACTGACGCAACCGAGAAGGTGAAACTGTTCAGTTGCACAATTTGCATGCAAAGCCTTTAACTATTGAAGGGAAAACTGAAATAAGAATAAAAGGATCCCTTCTGCCCGATTTTGATTCTTCAGCATTATTTGTTACTTCAACCTCTAAGGTTTTCTCCTCTTTTTCTTGTTATAGTAGCCTATATCAATCGATAGCCGTGTGTTGCAATAGAAAAAGAGGATGGTTAAAAGTTCAATATAGAAACACAGTTTTCCTTCCTTTTTATTGTGGCCTATCATTTAGTTTGATGCAAGTCACCACTTTCCATCAACCAATCGCAGCTCAGGCATGCCATCACAAAGCGCCACCCTCTCAGACCACAATACAGAGCATGTGACGATGTTGCAGCAGGAGAGGCGGAGGAAACTGACCCAAAGAAGGGTTTTAGTAGCTCACCAGTTTGGCAATATTTAGGTTATAGCAAGTCAGACAGAAACCAAACCACAGTGATTTGTAAAATTTACAGGGAACCGGAAAAAACAAAGTCTGGTAACACAACCAACTTATTTTTATCATCTAAGCCGCTCACATCCAATGGAGAACAAGTTGTGTCGGCCTCTGCAAAGCGTCCATAAGGACATCACTCATGCACTAACATAGCGATGGATATGCTGCCGGTGTCTGCAGTCGAAAAACTTGACTTCAAACAGTTGCTCACCACTCTTGATCCCTTATTCAAAGTCCCGGGCTGCAAGTTTTTCTCTAACTGTTATCTGTGTCTAACCACGACACAACCTCTGGTAAAGTCGCCTACCTCAGCCTCTCAATTCACTTCATCGACCTGAGAAGGAAGTGTCAAGAATCTTTTAAATAATTATCCATATAGATCAATATAAACTTTTTTTTTTTTAATCGATACAATTTTTTCTATATCGTCCAGCCCAACTGACAAGGTTTGACCATTTAATATTTTAAATGCACCATTAATAAACCCCGGAAAACCCTTCAACAATGGCAAGAAAGGTTGAAGAATCTGTATAAAATGAAGAAGATAACAGCAAAACTTCATGTGAAAATGGACATATTCTTGGAAGTGTGGGCCCAGCTATTGACTACTTCGGATGGCCTCACAGATAAAGAGCCGCATATGCTACAAAAATTATATCAGCGCCCGTTGTTCATATTTTCCCTCTTTTATGGTATACTAGACATATACACCTCCCGTTTATGGGAGCTAAAGACCCCTCTAAGAACTGTTGGCTACTATTTATTTTATTGCATTTTATTTTATTTATTTATTTTATTTTTTCTCCTCTACCTTTGGGTTTGATGTTCTCTGTAGTTGCATATATGAAGATACATTTGTATATATGTTGGATTTATTATATTCTTAAATAAAGAATGTTCAAAAAAAAAAAAAAAAAAACAGACCATACACACGTTACATCAAGTACTTCATCTCACCTTAATGCACTGAAAATAGCTAAAAACAGCCTCTACAGCAAAGGTGATGCTGTGCATGACGCCTTCACTGTCTGTAAAAGATTGGGTTTTCTGTTTAAAACCAGCCGAAGCCGGATGTCAGTTATTGATGATGAATAAAACCACAGTGACCTGTGACTAAGAGGTGAGTCTACTGCTTTCATCTGCTGCTTACTTAAAAGTCAGCGTGTCAAAATAGAGACCAACCCTTCTGTTCAGTAAATCAAGATAGGACCTGGAAGAAAAACAAAAAAACGGACCCATAGCAGCTGCATTAGCAGGAAGCAGAGCAGAAGCTGAAAGAAGTATAAGGCTGGAAGCGGTTAAAAGGTTAAGAGGAGGCGATGGGCAGCTGGGAGGTTTGGACGGATGCTTAATGGAAGAGGAGCTGACCAGTTTGTTCCACAGCGTGTGCTCGGCCAGCGTGGGCTGCCTCTTTAAACATACTGCACTAAAATACACATTTGCTTCACCGGGCGGTCTTCTGTACGGTAACACAGTAACATGAGCCCACTGCAAAGCACCTATAAATCTGTTTAATGGTGCACTCAGGAAAGCCGCGGAAGAGGAGCAAACTTAGAAAGCCCAAAAAGGAGAAGGTTAAACCAGGACTTGCAGCATGAAACAAACAAACCCCTCTGAAGAGATAAGGAAAGAAAGGAAGAATGGAGGATTTAATAGAAATAAGAGAGAAAAAAAACGTAAATTGAGGCTATAGGAAAATAAACAGAGTAACTTGAATGCAAACTACAGAGAGAGTCTGGTCCATGCAGAGGACAGAGATTATAGTGTAATTGAATGGTGTAATGGAACAGGTGAGGGACTGTTGGGGTACTCACAGAGAAGAAGAGGTCCATGACACGGGTGTCCAGCAGCGCTTCCCTCCAGGACTCCGTAGGCTTCAGCGTGACGTTCTGCGTGGCCTCGAACATGGCGATGTAGTGGCGCCCCAGTGATCCGCCGCTGGTTAAGGCCGACAGCAGCAATAAAAGGAGGAGCAGAAGAAGAAAGAGGAGGAGTACAGTGAAAAACAGCGGCTCCCGTCACCCAACTCTTCCTCAGTGGTTATCTTGGTTTTGTGGGAACCTGCAGACAACAGATACTCGATCTTCCTCTCATTAACCTCCGTCAATCTCTTCTTCACAACAGAGCTGAGCTTTCTCAGCCTCCCCTGCTGATCTGTTCCATGTCGTTGTCTTTTCTTTCTCACCTCTTTATTTAAGGAGCTTTTACCCACACAGCTAAATCATTCCTCCTTTCTCACCCTAGTGTCTTCTTGTTTCCCCTGACTTTTCCTTCGCTCGCCTGACAGCCTCTCTGCTCCTTGCCCTCTCACTCACCCTCTTCCTCCCTGCCTGTGCTCTCACTTTTCTCTCCTGTGTTTCCTTAAGATCTGAGGCTGAGCTCTTCTGGGAGAAGTGCCCGAGGCTCCTTACTGCCCTCAAACACACCCCCCTCCTCTCACGGCTCCTCAGCCAATTGCCGGGGCTTTCCGACTGACTGCTTTCCAAGATGAAATCCATGCCGTCTTTCCATCACTTTCAACCCTCCCTCAGTCCGTTCTCCCAACTTGAATTCCTCCTTCACCTGAAGATGTAGAGTTAAAAAAAATAAACCCTCTGAAAGTTTCCCTTCCAGCTGGATGAGAAATTCTCCCCTCAGTCGCCAAATCACAGAAGTAAGGAGCTATTTTAACTTTCTCTACACCCACAACCAGCCTGTCCTTAAGCCACAATGTGTCACTACACAACCGCAACACTTCCGGCTGTTTTTCTAAACTTTTAAAAGAAGAAACAAACACACCCACAGCGGGTTTTAACAATGCTCACTGAGAAGCATCTTTTTTCCAGCGACTATTTCAGACCAGCGTGAATGCCGCTCACACGCCCACGCAACTTTGCACACAAAGAGCTCCGCTAACTAATTATTGGCAATAAAACAAAAAAGAAAACCACTTAGATGTGAACAAAAAATAAATAAATCTTATATACATAACGTTGCTCATATTTACATCATTACGGTGCCGAACAGATGCATCACACTGCTAGTATTGGTGCATTTACATATTAGGCATAAAAAAAAAGAAAATAAAAAAAAAAATCCAGTGGACTTTTCTGGTTTCCAAGTTTGAAGACATTTAGCTTCCCCTCCAGGAAGCTTTTTCTATTCAAAATGTCAGGAAAAGCGTTAAGTTTGAGGTTTTATACAGTAGCTCAACAAAGCCTTGTTTTTGCAATGGTCTTTAAAGTTGGAAACAAAGTCCAGAGGATTGTTTTTAATTTTCATTTTTTGGAATGACTGACCGAGAACCTTAACCAGCATACATATTAGGCTGTGATGTGGCCTCTGTGCCTCCCTCTCATATAGTCTATTTATCCTCAAAGTTTTTCATTGCTGAAGATAGCTTCATTTCAGGCTCCCCATCCCTGGTTATCATCAATTTAAGGATTTCCCAA